TTGCACGCATTATATCATCGCCTCGGTTTGCGTGCCCGTGTGCACGCATTTTGAGGCACCTCATTTTCATCCTTCGGCATCCTATATGAGTGTGGCTGAGGCTCTCTCATGTTGGTGTAAGCCCATCTCATATTTCCATGTCATTTACATTGTATTCTGTCATTGCCTCGGTTTGCGTGCCCGTGTGCACGCATTTCGAGGCACTTCATTTTTACCTACCGGCTTCTCATGTGAGTGTGGCTGAGGCTCTCTCATTTTAGTATAAGTCCATGTTACATTTTCCATGCCATTTTAGCCATATTACATTGCATTCTATCATTTCCTCGGTTTGCGTGCCCGTGTGCACGCATTTCGAGGCACCTCATTTTTACAGCATAGTGCATGCTAGGTTGTATCTTAGATCGCATTCTGCCATCGCCTCAGTTTGCGTGCCCGTGTGCATGCATTTTGAGGCATGTTATTCCATAGCATTGTGTATGTTAGGATTGTACCTTAGTCGCATTTCATGCATGTCATGCATATTGCATCGTGTTCGGGATAAGAGTTAGCCCGGGCACGGGAAACGAGGTGCATTTCGTACTCCGAGTGACGGAATGTGTCTCAATTCCCCAGTCACCGACACTCCGGATCATCCATGATGGAGTTAAGTCTTGTTGTGTTTTCATGTGCATTCATTCTATATTGAGTTGTGCAATTCGACTCCTCGGCCATCATGCCTCGGTATGCGTAATTGGTGGCACGAAGGATCGAGGCATGCATATATTTGTGAAAATGCACTGCTATGCCCCTTTCCTGCTCTCTGTTGTAGCAAAATCAGTAATCAGCAACTTTCCGGGACTTGGTACGCTTTTCAAGAATAATTGTAAAACAGAGGCTAATCGGGGCATCCCGGTGGATTTCCGCGCAAAGCAGCCTAACATACATCATCCATCAGGAGCGAGGCAGCCCCTGGCTTGCATGCCAGTTTTATTTATTTTCTTAGTTAATTTGTTTAAATAGGAATTTGTATATTATTTGGACTGTAATATTCGGACTGTAATATTCTTTTATTTGGGACTGTATTATTTATTCGGACCCTCTGCGTGAGGGCACAACTATAATAAGTGTGCGTGCGTGTGTTGTATGTCTTCCAACCCCACGTCTTTCTTCCCTTTTATTTACCAGCTTACGATGGTTAGATTAGGGCATGTTTAAATTAGCATACAGTATGACAGCATGTTTGCATTCATTCATCTGTTTTGCATGCACCGGGCTCGGCGCACCATACTAACTGCATCGTACTTTCAATTCCAAATTGAATACATGTTAGTCATAGCATTTCATATGCCATGTTTAGAATAGCCGAGCCCGCTATAGTTGCATTTTTGCATGTGTTGCATTAGGCATTTTTGTATACTTAGGATCATGCATGATTTCTAATGTAGTTTCTATTTTGGCTTGGAGTACTCGGTTAGTTCTATGCTTTAGCATCCTTGCATGTGTGTGAGTGAATGCCATGAATAGCATGCTTACCATGAGGCTATGTGCTTATATGATATAACTGCCTGAATGCCTGTGGGTGAAGGTTGGGTTATCTGAATTGGCATAAGTCATTAAATGTTTCAAGCCTACCTGCGGGTAGCAAACCATTTTCAAAAGCAAAAATGAAATGTTTTGTTCCAATTCAGGCGATCCAGTCTATACTTGTATGCTGTGCGCATCACATAGTAACCTAGGCTAATAACCGGAATAAGAACATACAATGTTTTCAAAAATAGATATCATGGTTAGTAGAGGCCGGTCTATGACCGGGCGAGCGGGGGTGCTCACGAAGTGACCTTCCCCAATCGTACCCAAGTTCCCGAGCCGAGGCAACTTTGGTGATGACGGACACGTGGCCTTTGGCAACGAGTCAGGGTTTCCTAAATTTTCCAAAATAAAATATTTAGGTGGCGGCTCTGTATCTGGCAAAGCAGTCCATGTTTGGCACTTCTTTCAAAAAATCTGTTTTCTCAAAATGATTTGCCAGATTTGGACTCTTTGGTTCAGATTAAGAACCGTGACTACAAAGTCAAGTCCGAGCTGTAGCGAGGTCCCCCCCGCGGGCTTGTTACACCCTGGTAGACATAACGAACATGATAGTGGTGCAGCTTGTCATGGTAGAGGACACCATGGTCATGGCTGGGGACATCTTATTTATCACCACCACGGTCATGACTGGGGACATCATATTCATCAACATGTTCACGGTGAACATCATGGATGGTGGCCGTGGTGGTTGTCACCATGGAGGATGTCACAGTCGTGGTGGGAGACATCATGGTCACAGTGGTGGCAGTCCTGGCAAAAGGCAACATTGCAATGACGAACGTGGAGGTCACAGCAAGGGACATTATCATCATGTGGTCATCGTTGAGCATGTCAATGCCCCTGAAATTGCAATAACTAGTGGATAGATAGATTCTTCCTGTTGAGAATTTTAGCAGTCCTCTGAATTGAAGAAGCAGCGGTGTGTTCATGTATTACTAGATTTGGAGAGAGAGAGAGAGAGAGAGACATAATTTCCTTTGGTGTACTCTGTGTATTCTGCTAAATATTGAACCAGCTTGAGTTGTTTTTTTAAAGGTGGATTGCAGTAATATATATAATTTGAGCGTAAATTTTCATGGAGTAATGCTTATACACATACAATTTTTCAATCCACACTTGCACAAACCATTATTGGATTAAATCAACAAATATTGATAGTTTAACATACTTAAAATGAGCTACTCAATGCACAAGCTTCCCGCTAAAACAGGGTTTATTAGCAGGACATAAATTTAACATGCATATATTACCTCAAAAGAAATTAGAACCTCAAAAGACAACTCCAAACTCTTACTATACATGGTTGACAATCATAAATTACTCTGATCTCTCCTAGTTGGCAGCAATATCTTTAAGCATTTCCTTCAGCTTGCCAGTCTACATGACCGGCCAAACCATTAAAACAATGAATCCCAGGCTTAAGAAGAAGAGCAATTTTGATGTGATAATACTTGGTGCATGTTAAGAATGATGTCTGATCCTCCGATGAACTCCCCCTTGATAAATATTTGTGGAAATGTAGGCCAGTTGCTGCAAGGATAGACCACGAGACTAATTAAAACAAGTACCATGTTTTACCAACAATTTTGGACCAAATTGGTTGCTAGGTAATGATCAGTACATGGCTTAAACAGCAACTCCATTTGCAAATGTATGTTTCTTGATATTAATTTGTATCACTAAAACATGATAACTTAGTGCACTTCTCACAAATTATCCCAAAAGCATGTGTAACTGATGAACAGGCAACTTCGTGGATATTTGACATAAACCGCATCCCAAAAAATTCAATTAAGATTTGGCCATGTCTATGAAGTTACACATTAAGCTATCTTTTGAAAAAGATCTTTCATATACCTGAATCTTAATAGGCAACATGGACTAAATATTTAAAGTTGAAATCGCAGGAATTTGATCAATTAAAACTTGTCTGACAAAGTGTTCATGGGCTTCTGAACATATGTTGCTGTGGGCATGTATTCTTAGCCACTACTAGATATGGATCGTTTGATTAAGTAATTTCTAAACCCACTTGAAATGAATGCTATTCAAATATCGCCTAAGGAAATTCTTTGAATTGCTGCCACCATAGGTTAAACAAAAATGGATGTACTCTGATTCCAATATCATGCTTCTTGAAACAAGTTTTCTGCTTCGATGTAATTTTAAAAACAAAAAACAAAAACAAAAAACAAAAAACAAAAAACAAAAAACAAAAAACAAAAACAAAAACAAAAGCTGAAAAATACATTGTTTCCAGTAAGAAATTTTAGTAACATTAGCTACTTCTAGTTCTATCGCACGAGGACAATTGACAAAAACCAATCCATGTATTCACTGGTTCAGTGTCTTCGCATATCAAACATCACAAAAAAAAAAAAAAGAAAAAAGAAAAGACAATTTGAATTAACAAAACATGCAGTCATATCAAACATTTCCCCTGGTGCCAACCCAAACATCCCAATTATAAACAATAATGTTGTGGGTTGTATTTGTTCAGGTGGTCTACAGATGGCCTTCAGGGAAGAACGCGGGTACTGAGATATCAAGGTAATCACCAGTGAGCGAGGAGTTGAGAGATTAAGAAGCTTTAGAAGACAGAGAGGGTAGTGGTGAGGTCTTGCTGTATACAGAGATGGAGAAGATGGTTGATAATGGAGGATGCTTCAACGTCCGCATAGAACCCTTTTATAGAGGGTGGTCGAACCATGGAGACCAACTCACTCTTGGAGAGGTAGCTAACCCTCCTTATTTTGACAAGAATGAGGTGTCCCATCCACTTCTACTACCTAAGATTGTACCTTGGGATTTGTATCATAAGAGAAACAATGGTAGGCATTGTGGGGTGGGGTGGGGTGGGGTGGGGTGGGGGTGGCATCAGTCTTGCATATGATGCAATTTTCAAAATATCAATCTTGATTAGAGCACCTCTCTCTCTGAGACTAATCAAGGTGCAGACACCATCAGGGTAGGGGGATGGAAAGGCACCAAAATGAATCCCTAACTCTAGCCTCTAACCCACATACCTAGAGTGATCCCCCAGACAAGGATTTCTAGGCCCAACACCCAACCTAGGTCATCATTAGATGATGGTACTAGAGATGTCTTGATCAGTAGGAGACAACTTTATGGAGAAAGAGAAGATGAGACATAGTGGGGTCATGGCCATCAAGGTAGGGGGATGGAAAGGCACCAAAATGAATGCCTAACTCTAGCCTCTAACCCACATACCTAGAGTGATCCCCCAGACAAGGATTCCTAGGCCCAACACCCAACCTAGGTCATCATTAGATGATGGTATTAGAGATGTCTTGATCAGTAGGGGACAATTTTATGGAGAAATAGAAGACGAGACATAGTGGGGTCATGGTCTGGTGAAGGACCTCTCAGCCAAGCCAAATGAGATGCAGAACCATGTTGCCCCTGAGCAGAGTTAGTCGAGCAGGGATGCCTCGGACCCTTGACACAATCGAGTGGTGCTCTGGCTACGCCTTGGGATGCCCTATGTTGGCTCATCTTGCCATGACTAAAAGTTAAGGCATTGAGCATGTTAGCTAGCCAAGCTAACATACTTGGTGGTTTGTATGCCCCCACTTAGGATAGACTCATCACAACCCCAACTAATATAACAAACAGCTACATTGCCATGTGATAGACCTAAAAAAAGACATGCAATGATAAAACATATGTAATGCATATATATGACATACAATATAGAGATGTTTCATTGTAGCCAAATTCATCTCAATTTCAAACATGTTTATGCATCATAACATAAGAGAATAGAGGTCATTTTAGTAATAGGAGCTCACCTCTAAAACCCACTTTCCAATAAATAATAATGGACCATCTTGCACCTCTGATTTTGGAGTTTTAGATAAATCTAGTGAACCTTCTCACCCCCTACATTATGCAAATCCTCAATATAAATCCTGCGTATATATACATATGCGTAATAAAGTAGTTTAAATTCAAATAAGGATAATGTGAGATGAAAATGTAGAGAAGAAATTGCTTGTAGACCTTCATATTTACCAAGGACCAAGTCAGAATTGGATAGATGGAAAACCTCCTGAGTACTCACCCTTCCCTAGTACAAAAGATGAAACATTTGCTTTTTTTAGTCATTCCTAGTAACATAGTCGACTTGTATTTGCTCTGTTTGGTCGTTTAGAAAATACAGTAGAATCAAAACAATTAAATTTTTTTAATTTTTTTTTCTTTGTGAATAGATTAGTTCTCATATCACTGGAAACCAACTTGAAAACTCATATATTTTGGAATGGTAAAACAACCAATGGGTTGAAAACATTTACCTTGAGCAAAGTGCGTCTACTCAAATGAACAGGCTCCATTGTATATGTCTCAGATGATGAAACATGTTCCTAATAAAATTACCCCCCAAAACCCTAGATTAGATACATGCATATTATAAAGATGCATATATAAGAAAGAGGATTATGCATTGGAAATACCTCTGAGGGAAGAACTTCAAGGGAAGGAGGTGGGGGAGGAGGGAGGGAGTTTTCAGAAGAATCAAGAAACCCTAACCCTAATTGGGTTTTATCAACCGATAAAGAAGAAGAAGAAGAGAACAAAACAAAGGAGTCGAGTCCTTATACCTGATTGCTTTGCCGCCATGAAATCGAAGTCTTTAGCTATGGAGTTTGGTTGCAGAGCTCCTAAACCTCTTGGAGTTGTTTTGTTGTTGAGCCTGTTAGGCCCATCGTGTTCTTTGTTTAAGTTTTTAAAATTTTAGTTAGAAAGTTAGGTTTCTATTCTAACTAACCACATTTTCAAAGGATGATTATTCAGTACTCCCGGAGTATGGACACGTGGTGCTCCATAATGTTTTGATTGGTGGAGAAACACAAGGGCCCACGATTTATGTTGGAGATGGGGGACAACATGGGGCTAACTGATTGGTGATTGGTTTGGAGTATGGACACGTGGTGCTCCGGGAGTATTGAATAATTTCCCCATTTTCAAATATATTTTCCAACAAAATCTGTTTATTTATTTATTTATTCTAAGATAGAATTAAAAAGAAATAAATAGCGAAAAGTGAAATTAGTAAAAAATAAAGTAAAAGTAAAGAAAGTAAAAGAAAAATATATCTTATGGCTATGTTTGGTACCGTACTCTTCATTTTTTTTATTAATTAAAATATAAAAAATATAATCCTTTGTTTTATCTAATTTCTTTTTTATTTATATTTTCAACACTACTCTTTATTTTACTTATATATACATAAAAACTGCTTATAGAGTCTCACAAGGCTCTTCCAAATATCGCAAATCTTAAATTATTTTTGTTAAAATAGCTCGTATTATAATAGTGTCTATTAAAATGATTAAAATATGATAATACTGGTTATAATAACTAACAAGTCTAATCTAAATAGTCTATTGGAGATATAGAGATATATCTTATAAAACGAAAAGTCTATAATGTGCACCTTCTAAAAGGACATATGATATACACTTATTGTGTGGTCTATATTGTACCACGTCATAAAATTTCAAACACAATTAATTGTGTAAGCAGTTGGTATAACATATAAGAGTGAATGAAAAATCATAATTGATTGCAAAATCGATTAGATTCAAAGACCACAATTAATTATACAATCGATTAGTAGCCAGGGTTTTGAACAATCATAATTGATTGTACAATCTATTAGAATAAAATTATATAAAGAAAATTATAACCGGTTGGAAAGGTATTCAATATTTTTAATCAAATTATTTAATGGTTGAGATTAATTTGTAAATATCTAATCGCTTAAAATAAATGTATACATGATGTGCACTATTTAATGAGGTGCACATCGCGGGGCGGGGCGGGGGGATATGATGAAATTTACAAACAATAATAATAATAATAATAATAATAATAATAGTTTTTTCTTACAACCTATTATGACATTGATATGGTAATTAAGTTTCTAATTTCTTGCACAAAAAAAAAAAAATTTGTTATAAAAATAGTTATAAATTATTAATAGGTCTTAATAGTTAGATTTAATTCCTATTAAGTCCTATTCAAAATTAGTCCTAGTAAAATCATTACTAAAAATAATATTTTATGACGATTTTTTAAATGTCTCTAAAAATTGTTAATTAGTGACTTTTTGTCAGAATTTTTATAAATTGTCGCTAAAACTTACAATTAGTGATATTTTTTTGATGGATTTTTTAAACCATCGCTGAAAATTAAAATTAGTGACTTTTTTTGTGATGATTTTTTTAATTTGTTGCTAAAACTTAGAATTAGTTTTTTGTGACAATTTTCAAATTGTCGCTGAAAATTAATAATTAGTGACGTTTTTTAATAATATTTGATAAAAAAACGTTATTAATTATCATAAAATTTATTAAATAATAAATTCATCTATTAAGATTTACACATAAGTTCCATTTTAGATTTTTCCTTAGAATTGAAATGTGTCTTACCACATTAACAAAATCACGAGAAAATATAAAACAGTGGTACATACGAAAGAATAATTATAAATTAGTGAAAAATTATTTGGTAAAATTACACTTACCTCCTCTTAGGTTTCTAACAAATACGTAGATCTTCCCTGAGGTTTTAAAAATTACACTAATCTTTCTCACTTTAGTTGACAATATTCAAATACTCTCCTTTCATTAACTTTTACTTAGACACCGTTAATTTTTGTAATAAAATGTCCAAAATACCCTCTATTTACTCTTATTTTATTATTTTTTTATATGTCTCTTTTCCTCCATCAACCATTAATTATTCTCCCTCCTAATTTGTAGCTATCCTATCCATTGCTTCCTGCTTGTGGCTCAATTTCTAAAGTGAAATTAATATGTTGCTTTTTTATGTATTTTTATGATAATATCACGCCTTGTTATATCGAAATGTTGCTCAATAATTTGAAATATGATATAATCTAATTTTCTAATAGTGTGATAATAATTTATTATTAGATATTGTTTGTTATAATAATTGTTATACGGTTATGTACTTTTATGATAGTGTTATTTTTTTTAACAAAATGTTACTCAATCATAATAAATTATATCGTATTCTAAATTATTGAGTAATATTTCGATAAAAAAAGCATAACATTATCATAAAAATATATAATTACATCATCAATTTTTTTAAAACACAATAATTTCACTTTAGGTAATGGTTAGTGATGGAAAAGTGACAAGAAAAGAGCAAATGAAAGGTATTTTTGATATTTTATTACAAAAATTAACGATGTCTAGAGAAAAGTTATTAGGACGGAGGTATTTGTGAAAGTCAGTGTAATTTCCAAGAGTTCAGGAGAAGTCTCTGTAATTGTAAAAAACCTCACGAGAGTTAAGTGTAATTTATCCAAATTTATTTTAATTGCAATAATAATGAAAAAGAAGAAATTGAATTACGATTGATGAAATACTTTTCTATTAAATTACTAAACCAACCAATCAACACAAGGCTAGATATGATGTCATGTTGGGTCGAGTCATTTTGTGTTAAGAAGTTAAAAACGTGAATACGAATCGTTTAATAAAAAAAAATATATTGCATGACATCACACTTAAAAATTCCTCCGAGAAGCGACAATAATAATCCCATTTGAGTTGGGGTTCCAACTTCCAGAAGCTTTGATGTTGGGATTGTAAGAAGCACCTACTAAAGTTAATGAAAATTAAAATTTTACCTACAGTTTTATTGAAGTTTTTCATTTTTCTCCCTTTTATATTTCATATTCTTAGGTTTTTATTCTTGGCAATCTCGTTTGACAAAAATCCTTTCAATTGTAATTTTATTCGATCTTTTTTATTTCAGTGAGGTTATAAGTTTTAGATACGAATCCAACTCGAATTGTGCCTATACAGAGGAGTTTGTAATCTTATCTTATCCTATGCAGTCGAAGTTGCTTGTCCGCTCGAGCGGCCATTTGTGTGCTCTAGTGAAGAATCTTTGGTTCCAAAAATTTGAACTATCTGCAAAAGTACTGAAAGTTGTGTTTTTGCACTTGAGCGGAACTTCCTGCGCTCAAACGTCCATTCTTGCGCTCAGCGGAGATCGCGGATCAGTTTTCTATAAATATTTGGTTTCATCCATTTTTAGGGTTACGGTTTCCAGATCATCTTCTTGGATATTAGGGTTTATAGCTGAAGCTTGTTTGCTAGTTTCTTTGATGTTGGTTTGAGTTTAAATCTGGTTTGAAAAGCATGTATCAAAGGATTATTTGTTTCGTTCAATATGAAAGAGAGTGTTATTCTTCGGTGGATTCCGTGGAATTTGGACCTGATGCTTTGTTGGATTCTGGAGTGGCTCACCGTCGTGGATTCGACATCGATATTGTGGATTCAATGTTGGGCAAGACAATTCCGAGGTAAAGACCATGATGGAAGAGGCATATAAGGGTCAGTTCAATTCGGACGTGGATTCGCTAGGTAATTGAGAGTACACTTATGTAATTCCTTTTATCTTCTTAGTGGATTGTTTTGTGGCTTTTGCCCGTGATTTTTTTTATCACAATTGGAGGCACTCCAATTGTGGTTTTTCCACATTAAAATCGTTGTGTTGATTTGTCTTGATTATTTGATTGGATTTGTTATTTACTGCTTAAAATTGATACATAATCACAAATCAATATCTAGGGGATTTCTAGATTTTTCACATATATACCCCTTAACTTTTATAGCCCTTTTCCTTCTATTTTTTTCAATAAGATTTTTACAAGTTGGCTCCTCTAATATTTTTTTTGTTAAAAAGTTCTCATTATATATTCTCTTACCATTTTCACATATTTATAAGGAGTTTTGAAATTGCAAATTTTAAATTTTATCACTTGCTCTTAAATGTTCTCACTTGTTTTTTATTTATTTATTTTTCCCTAACATTAAAACAAAATAAAAAAATTTCATGATTGTGATATTTTAGGGCTTTTAATTACAATTCAACAATAACAAATTTAAAATTAAACTAGACATGGAAACATTAATCTTTATTACAAAAGTGATGGAATCTCATAATTTTAATACAAAACTACCCCTCTCACTAATTTCTCACGTTTCCTTCACCCTCTCTCTTGCTTTTCTCTCTCATTTAATTAAAACAGAATTCGTAATAAATCACATGAGTCCAAACAACAACTCATACTGGATGGATGGACAGAAGGACAGTCCAAACTTGATAACCTCCATGTACTATTTTAAAATGAGATGGTATTTATGTAATTATTTTTCTTAACTATAGTTTTTTTTTTTTTAAAATCCAAAAATCAGTCTATATATTAAGATCCAAAGTCCATCAGTTGGAATGCTAGCAAATAATGCTTTCTTACTATACTTTATGCATATACAACTGAGTTGTTTCGTTATAGTTAGCGTAAGAAATGGTTTTGAAAAATATGATTTTTTTTTTCTTTAATTTAGTCTATTTTTTATGTGGGAACCATACGTTAAAGTTGGCGGGTCTAAGTAGTAACGCGTTTTATGCTGTGTTAAACATTGGACTTGATCAGAATTTTGTTCAATAAATACATAAGGTTAGTAATTAATTTACTTTCTGTTTTATTATTTTTCTGTTTCAGATTTTGATTTTGTTTTTGTAACAAAATAAAAATATGTTTTTATTTATTTATTTTATATTTTGGTTTGATTTTTGTAATCAAATAATCTCTCTCATTTTCTTTATTTCTTCTGTTTGTTGTTAAGTACACAAACATAATTTATTCGTAATATAGTGAAGATTGTCCAACAATCTTAAGATAGATCTA